TCTCTTTGCGGTAGTTGGAGGGAGTGCCGAAGCAGACCGGCAAATCAATGCGTCCGAGGGGTCGTCCGCGCTTTCTTGGCATGATGCCGTGGAAAGGTGCGGCACCCCTCGAACATCGACCGGTCGAGCTCTAGGAGCTCCATGGTGTTGGCGTAGAGGATGTTGAGGCCGCTACCTCCGTCCATCGACACTTTGGTGAGCGGGTGTTGCCGCTAATCGGTCGATCGACGACGACGGCCGGTATTGCCCGGGGTTTGGGACATAATTGGGGTGGTCCTCTCGATCGAAGGTGATCGCCTCTCCGAGACCCGATTAAGGTCTTTGGGAGTGGCTACCTCAACCGAGAAGACTTCCGGTGTTCCCTCTTGCGTTGACCTTGGCCGTGAGAACCTGTTGAAGGCCCGCCAAAGATCATGAAGGCATTGTGTACCTCAGGAACCCGTCGTCCTTGTCGTTGTCTCTGTCGCCGGCGCCCTTCTTCCTGGCGTCGTCGTCGGGAAGTCCGAGCTTGGCGTAGTAGTGTCGGAGCATGGTGCACTCTTCGAGGGTGTGCTTTACCGGGCCCTAATGGTAAGGGCACGGCTTCTTGAGCATGTCATCAAATAGTCCGGGGCCTCTGGCGGGGCCTCGAGGATTCCTGCGATCCGCGGCTGTGACAAAATCGGCCTCGAGGGCCTCTTGCTTCCCCTGGCGCCCCTTTTTCTTTTTCTTGGAGAAATGGGAGGGCGAGGCCACGGAGGTCTCGCCCCTCCGCTTCCCCTTTGCTTCGCCGTCGGGGAAGATGGCCCCGACAGCTTCTTCGCCCGAGGCGAAGTTGGTGGCGACGTCGAGGAGCACGACCGCCAAAGTTGGTACGTTCCGGCCTAACTCTCGGACCAGGTCTTGGCAGAAGGTGCCGGAGAGAAAAGCCTGGACAACTTCCGAGTCACCGACGCTGGGCAACTCGGTGCGCTGCTTGGAAAAGCGCCGGATGAAGTCTCAGAGAGACTCGTCCGGCTTCTGGTGACAACTCTCGAGGTCCTAGGAGTTTCTGGGGCGCACGTATGTGCCCTAGAAATTCCCGACGAAGACCTTGACCAAGTCGCGCTAGTTGTGAATTTGTGAGGGAGGGAGGTGTTCGAGCCAGGCTCGCGCCGAGTCTTATAGGAATAAGGGGAGGTTACGGATGATGAGTAGGTCATTGTTCACGCCACCTAGCTGACAAGCCAGGTGGTAATCGGCCAGCCATAGTTCGGGGTTGGTTTCGCCACTATACTTTGCGAGATTGGACGGTTGCCGGAACCGGGCAGGGAATGGAGCACCGCGGATGGCCTTGCTGAAGACTCTAGGGCCAGGCGGCCCAGGAGAAGGGTTGCGGTCCTCCCCGCTGTCATAGCGGCCACCTCGGTGTGGGTGGTAACCTCGGGCGAGCCCGTCGTTGTCGTGGCGCCGTCGCCTGCTGACCACGTCGTGGTCCTCTTGCGCCTCGCGTCAGTCGCTGAGGCGGTCGTGGACTGAGGGGCCTTGAGGTGATCGTGCACCGAGGGCCGCTTCGAGATGTTCTCACGTCGCCGAGACGCGGAGCTCTCGGCCTGCTGTACTACGGCGATCTCGAGAAGGTCTTGGAGCTCGCCGCGGACCCATCGCTCCTCCGTGGTAGAGGGCTCGGGCATTGCTCGGACTAGCATCGCCGCCGCCGCGACGTTCTGGCTAGCGCGATTGAAGATTGGGGGTTGCTCACTTCCTTCGTCGTTGTTGATGCGGCGGTGTACGTCGTGGGCCCTCTGCCGGGCCCCTCCGCCGTCAACGCGGCTTTGCTGCTCCTGCTCGAGAGTGTCTCAGAGCTGCTGCAGCAGGAGTCGATCTTGGTCGACTTTTGCCTGGAGCTCACGGAGCTGCTCCAGGTCTAGGCGTCGGATATCCCCGGGGGCGATGTTCACGTTCCGCGCCGCCCGGAACTCGATGAGCGGGGGTGTGACGTCGCCCGCCCCTTGGCAGAGTGGGGACCGGTTGCCTGCCCTCTCACCCTCGTCACTTGCCCCGAGCATTCCGAGCCCGACGTGGAAACACTCTCGAGTGGGATCGTAAGTGCTTTCGTCATCGGAGTCGGAGTGGCCGAAGCAGTAGTCGCTTATGGCCAAGAAGCGGCGCATAGCCTCTGGGTCACGAAGCCCGGAGAAGTTCGCTCTGGCCCATTCCTCGTCCTCCTCCGAGGATTCAGTGTGGGTGTGGGTCGAGATCGTGGTGGAGAAGTCGAGGGCGAATCGTTGGTGGTGTCCCGAGGGCTTCGCGAGCGCGGAGGCGTAAGCGGAAGCATAGGCGGCGGCGATGTTAGTCAGCCCGAAGAGGTATGAGGATGGTGCCACCGCTGGGTTCCGCTCCACCTGAGTCGATTCCTCAGGAAGCGGCGGGGCAGAGCTTGACGATGGGACGTCGCTTCGCGCTACTGGCGTCTCTCCCTTGCCCAGGCTTAGGCTAGACAGGTCCCTAGCCAGGGACTCTGTGCCGATAGTCGGGCAAGGGATGTCGGCGGAGTGCGACGCGTAGCCCTGAGTTCGCGTGGCGTCAGAGTAGTTCCGCTCGCGTCGTGCCTGGCGAGCGTGACGAGAGCGGCGGCCCGAGCGCCGCCTGTGTCCGGGCTGCCAATGCGCGACGTCGTCGCCGGCCGGTGGGGCTCTGGGTGTGAGGAGTACCATATCGTACTCTCATCCTAGAGCCATGAACTCTAGGCTCCCAAACCAGACCACCGTGCCGAGACGTAGTGGACGTATGGGGTCAGCCATCCGGAACTCGTTGGGACGATCACGCTAACACGCAGAGACCCTACGGGCGCATAACTGCCGGTGTTCGGACGGGGGTCCTCAACCAACCGATAAAAATGAATTGCGTGCCCCTAATCCCGGATGGTGATGCAAAGAGACACAAGGTTTATCTTTGGTTTGAGGCAATCGGTGCCCTACGTCCGATCTAGGAGATCGATCTTGTATTCCTTGCAACCAAGTGCTTGTAGTAGTAGGGGGTTACAAATTTGGGTGAGAGATGGAGCTAGTCCGTGTCTCGGCGTGAAGTGGTGCGGGCTGCTAGAGTCGTTGCTCTTCAGGCGTGCGGGGCGCAAGTGAATTGAGTGAGTGCGTTTGCGCGTGAGGGCCGGCGTGGTCTCGATCCCTAGAAATGGCCCTGGCTGCTTCCTTTTATAGCCACAAGGAGGGAGCCAGGAGTACATGAGAGAGAGCTATACGTGGAGCCTTAGCGAGGAAGGAAGATCTAGTACTAGGGCATATTCTCAGCAAAAGACGATTGTCGGGAATGGCAATTGGTACTTGATCACTGGTGCGTCACGCAGGCCATGCCCGAGGCTGTTGTAGTCGTAGGAGTCCTTGCTGACGTCTAGTCAGCATGGCCTCCAATGTAGGTGACATGCCATGCCCTGTGGATTTTTTGACTTGGTGGGGTGCCGAGGCCTGGCAGGTTGTTTGTGGCCGGCCGCGCCGAGGCCTGATTTGCCGAGGCCTGGGAGGTGACCTGAGTGCGATGCGGCGATCTCGATGGTCAGCTCCATACCCGGTTTAGGTGGAAAAATGCAGGGTGTGTGTCCGCAAGGCACGGTAATCCCTGCACCGTCAGTGGAGAATGGTAAAAAGGAGATTTGACCGCCGTCCCATCGCCCCTGTTGCTATGCCCTGCCAATCGTAGCTGACGTAGGCGCAACCAGGGGTACTTACACGGATGGGACGGCCCGCCAGAGGGGCAGTTGAGGCGGAGACGACGAGGATGCGGGACGAGCCCGGCCTCGGTCGAGGCGGAGAAGGAATAGCACGTCTGAGACCCTGCCGGAGGGTCTCGAGCGAGGCGACGAGCAGTTGGGCTCTCCTGCGGTTTTCGAGACTATAGGGACATGGACTTGACCTTCCATGCTGCTTTGTCCTTAGCACAGGGTTTAGATAGCACAGTGGCAGGTAACCCCTGTTGCGCCCGGTCCCTTGTCCCGTCGGTCGTTCTGCCCGTACTGTACCTGAGTGCGGCTGACGTTTGCGGGAGTAGTTGGACGCATTTAATCTGGACGTGACGTTTCGTCAGAAGAGTTTGGTCGGGACGGAGGCTACGAGTATGTTTGCCGAGCCCGGCCTCGAGCGAATCGGAGAATTGGCATCCCATCCGAGGCCTTTCGGGGCGAGGCCTCGGCGAGAGGGTCTCGGCGAGAGGGCATCGGCGGGGCGCTTTTGGCCTTTCGTATGAGGCCTCGGCGCAAGGCCTCGAGCGAATCGGATAATTCTGCATAGACCTGACGATAGTTTTTTGTTTTGATTTTTGCAAGGTTTAAGCGATATTTTTGGATCTTGCTTAGGGTACACCTTCTTGTGGTATCCGACAGCATGTATTTGCGTTCGCAAAAGCAAAAAAAAACTCATAAGATGCACCATATGATTCTCATTTAAGATTTGTTGAGTATAGAAAGTGTGATCAGCATGATACGTGTACTACGCCATGCTTGAGTGCGGCAACGACTGGCATATCGTACGTGTAATGCGTACCACCCCATCGCCTTCTGCCACGGCCAGCTGAGCCCACTTGTTGTTCCTTATTATCAAATGCAGACTTGCTGATCTTTAATCCTTCCTGTTGAGCATCAATTGCAATTGGTTTTATGTGCGAATGTGTCTAGCAGGTAGCAGCTTGCAGGGAGGTCATTGAGAGAGTCCTCATGCTAATCTTTTTTTATGCTCATATAATAGTAACGCTAGGAACATCATATTTGTATCATCACGACGTTATTTTTTTTCCGTTGGAACATACGAACATTTATCTAATAAATACTAATAAATCCTTAAGAAACGGCCTTGTGCAATATTGGTACGGAGGAATCGCAGGATCGCGGGCAGACGGCGATCCGAAGGAAAAAATGTCGCACGTGGCCCCGTCTCCGCCGCGCCCCGCTCCTCCTTTACAGCGTCACAGGCTCACAGCCTCCCGCGTCCGGACCCACGCTCGAGGCTTCCCGCGCGGTCCCGCCTCCGGCAACGATGCTCGCCGCCGCGCGCCCCGCGTCCGCCCACCTCCTCCTACTCGTCCCGCTCCCTTCTCCTCCCCGCCTTTCAAATCCCGCCCCGACCCGCAGACTCTACGCCCTCGCCCCCGCCCGCCGCCCTGCGGCGGCGGCCGTGCGCGCGCGCCGCGAATCCTCTCCTCCCTCCGCGCCCTCCCCTCCCGCCACCCCGGCCGACTCGCTCGACTGCGTCGGCACTGGCTCGGATGTCGAGTGCTTCGTCGACGCCGGCGCCGAAGACGCCGCGAGTCCCCTCCTTCCCACGCGCTCCCCAGCCCCAGGCGCGTCCAAGGACGATGGGAAGAGCGAGGGCGACGACGCGGCGGTCTCGGCTTCATCCCCTGCGGGGAGGGAGCTCTGGGAGTGGACATCCCTGGTGTCGCCCTTCTTCTTCTGGGGCACGGCTATGGTGGCCATGAAGGGGGTCATCCCCCGCACGGGTCCCTTCTTCGTCGCCGCGCTGCGCCTGCTCCCCGCGGGCGCGCTGCTCGTCGCCTTCGCCGCCGCGCGCGGCAGGAAGCAGCCCTCCGGCTGGGAGGCCTGGCTCGCCATCGCCGCGTTCGGACTCATCGACGCCGCCTGCTTCCAGGCGCGTAATCGTGGCCATGTTAACAGCTCAAGGCGTTGGTAGTTTTTAGCGTCTGTGCCTGGAGTGTGTCTGTGATTCTTGGAATCTAACGCGCGGTGTTTGTTCTTGCTTGCTTTCGCAGGGCTTTCTCGCGGAGGGATTGCAGAAGACGTCGGCTGGGCTCGGGAGCGTAAGGCGAAATCCAAACTCCCGCTGTGTTCTTTAGCTCATCATCAGGCAAGCATTTGCCTGGTCGTCTTGGCCTGGTGAGCTGGTAGCACTTACGAAGTTCAATTCTCCATTCCAGGTCATCATTGACTCTCAGCCATTGACGGTTGCTATCCTTGCGTCACTGTTCTTTGGAGAGTCGATTGGCACGATAGGAGTTGGAGGGCTCGTGCTGGGTGTCGTGGGGCTCTTGCTTCTCGAGGTTTGCCTTCTGATGATGCTAGTTCAAACTTTTCATATGCAGTAGACAGTTTAGCAATCTTGAGACCTGAATATTGATTATAGTGACAAAAGTTTGATTGCTCATATTCTATTTTCTCCATGTTGAAGTGCAAGGCAAACATTCATATATGCTCTTTATTATGCAATATTTTGGACCACACCTTAACTGATTTGGTGTTTAAAACAATTGTCTTCTGCAAACGTTCTATATTCTTCTCCACTGTTTCTATGTCAAGTGTATATTTACAGCACATATCATCTGTAAAATGTTCAAAAATGGTTTATGGTCATTTTGAACTTTTTGAAATTCAGGTCGTGAATGCCAAGTAAAGCCCTTTTTTTACAAATAATTTGCTTCTATTTATGGATTATGCCGTGCACTATAACTGAATTTTTGTCTCCCCTTTCATTGATTTTTTTTTTTTTTGCTAGGTTCCAGCATTGTCAATTGAAGGAAATGACACAACAATCTGGGGAAGTGGGGAATGGTTGATGTTCCTCTCAGCTCAAAGCATGGCAGTTGGAACTATCATGGTCCGCTGGGTGTCAAAGTACTCTGATCCAATTATGGCAACAGGATGGGTATATTATCCACAGATGAACAATCAGTCCATGTTATGTCTTAGTTTATGTCACATGCGCCAAAGCTCTGCCATGCTATTGGTTATGTTGCTTCAAGTTAGCCTTTTTAGAGTCTATTTTGGCAAATGATTTTGCATGTTTCCTGAAATTGTTAATTTAGTTAGTTCATTCTGCAGAATGCAATGTATATAGCATTTGTTGTTATTTTAATTGCAAAGATTATTGCATACACATGTAGTTCCAATAATATTTACCAATGTAGTTGAAGGCAGATGCATAGATTGCAAAACAGAATTGCATTTGTTATTTTGTTGATATTCTTAAAGGTACCTAGGCTTCTCAACTTCTTTAATGTCCCTTGTTCCATCAGAATGAAGATGTTACCTTTAATGCATGTTGTTGAAATTTTCACCCTTCTATGGGATGATTTTAGTGGTCCTTGCAATTAGTATCAAATCTGGCATTACCTCATTATAATACTAACATCAACATTATGACAGCACATGATTATAGGTGGGCTTCCTTTGCTGGTTATTTCTGTTCTTAATCATGATCCTGCTCTGAGTGGCCATATTCAAGATCTTACATGGAGCGACATATTAGCACTTGGCTATACATCTATATTTGGCAGTGCTGTCAGCTACGGTGTATACTTCTACAATGCTACTAGGGGTATGATTCTCTCATATTAGTCCAATGCTATTTTCATGATTCACTCTGAAAGGTATCCCACATAACTAGTTCTTTGTCATTTTTTCAGGTAGCTTAACCACACTTAGTTCTCTCACTTTCTTGACCCCCATGTTTGCATCCGTTTTCGGGTAAGATCCTTATGAGGATGTTGTGCTACCTGATTTTTAGTTTTCACACAATGTTATCTTGACTCCTTGCCACCTCTTTGCTGTTCAGATACCTGTACCTGGGTGAGACCTTCTCACCAGTACAGCTTGGTGGTGCGCTTCTCACACTGGTTGCCATCTACATGGTCAACTACAAAAGCATTATAGGTGAGAAATAAGAGGCTATCACATACTTGTGTGGTTTCTATCACATAAGGGTGGTTGGGTGCTGCATGCAGCACCTATAGCCACCTATTGGGTTCAGGAATCTGAAGATTAAGTACAATCGTGAAGGCAAATTATCAGATTGGAGAGAGATGTGCTCTGTTTCAGGTCTAGACTGAAAATGCAGTATAAAGTGGCACAAAACCAAACAGGTTCCATCAGTTCCTTCGACATTACTATTAGATTTCCTGGTTATGTCATCGCATGCTTCTAGGTTAGTCAGCAGCCTTTTTCTCTGTTATGTGGAGCTGAGAAAAAATTATAATTTATAGGATGCTTCCACATTGTACTTGATATGCATTATCAGCTAGGGAGCTAGGGGATGGAACCCCAGCGCCCCCCGCCTGCAGCATTGTGCAATGGCCAGAGCATGGAAATAGTTGGAAGGAAGGCTCATTTGTATATATGAATTCACTCCATTTCAAATATATGCTAGAATTTTTGAGTGCCATGTGCATCCTACCAGGTAGACACTGGAGAATTTCTTAAGCAAGTGGTGTCACACAGTATTCAAGTGATACTAAGTAGCGAGTGTCGTGATTACTAAAGTGAAATAAGAACTTTGTGATTACATAAATAAGTTCAATATAAAAAACTAGACCTACGAGGATATGACCACCCCCAGGCATTGCATTAAGAAGATCTTCTCACGCAGGCCCAGAAAACCCCCGAACCCCTGCCCCACCCATACACAGCGGCACCGTCGCCCTGTGAGATGGGCCGGTCCTTAGACCTGTGTTTTGGCGTGGGACAGACGAGGGGATTTTTTTAACCTCAGCCTGAAATTCTCTCCCACGGGGAGTCGAACCCAGGATCTGAGGAGTGCCGCCGAGACGCTCTAACAAGTTGGACTAGAGGCCCTTTGGCAATAAGTTCAATATAATCAATCAAATCTTATTAACATTTCTTGGGTCATCAATATCTGCAATTTAGAAAGTTCAATGCAAAACACATTAAAATTCGCTGTTGTTCAATCCACTAATATTTGCAATTGCCTTCTTGGAGCATCACCATTTCTTTCCATCGGTTCGCTGTCATCTTCCAAGCTCTAGGTCAGAGTTTGCTTTTGTGTACTCTTGATAGAGACCCCTGCATTGACTTCCATTAACAGAGGCAATTTAACTTAAGAGTTGAACATCTCAAGGACCAATTTTTTGTTTGGTCTTAACTATGTGAAAGATATCCCACATAACAAGTTCTTTGCATTTTTCATGATTCACTCTAAAAGGTATCCACCATTACTAGTTCTTTTTTTTTTTTGGGTAGCTTAACCACACTTAGTTCTCTCACTTTCTTGACCCCCATGTTTGCATCCATTTTCATGTAAGATCCTTTGGAGCATGTTGTGCTACCTGAATTTCAGTTTTCAGTTTTCACACAATGTTATCTTGACTGTCCTTGGCACCTCCATCATGTTCAGGTATTTGTATGTGTGTGAGACATGAGATGCCGCCTAGATGTGCGGGGCAATAGGAGTTCTTGAAATTTATAGAACTTGCAGTGGATTACAGGACTGGAGGACTGGTCTAACCACCAGAAATCTGACTAGATGTTCAGTACTAGGTAACGGGAAAAACATGAGTGGAGAGGGGTTACATCTATTTAATTGATTTTACTTGTTACCCAGGGTTGTTGGATACGTAGTAAGTTCATTCCTCCCAAATTCTACAATCACAAACATAAGAACAAGTAGATCGGGGCAAATCATTCAAAAGTCAACTTGCACAACAAGAACAAGCAAAGAAGACATGTGTTTTGTTTATCGAAGTTCAGATTCACCTCAATAAATCACACTCTCTATTGAGGAGCTCCCAAGGGAGCCGTGTCTCTTCCAACCACTTACTCTCGCCAAAGAACCCATAAAGATCAACCTTGGGCTTTCACTACCTTGATTTCTTCCCTGTGGAGGCAAAAACAAAAGCTTCACCTCTAGGGAAAAGGTCTAATTAGGACAGCGTGTCCCAATACGCCGACTTGGGAGGCCTAACCAGACGAAGGTACCTCATCTACTTGACCTATAAGGCCTTGTTTGGATGCGCATGTATTCATCTCAATCCACGTGTGTTGAAGTGGATTGGAGTGGAATTAAACTAAGTTCCATTCCAATCCACTCTAAGTGCATCCAAACAAGGCCTAAGGAATCACGGGATGCACTTACAGCGTGATTGGTTGCCCGAACCGGGCCGTCATATGGCCCATCCCGCACCCTTTGGTGCATTTCGTCTGTGTTTGGTTGTCCTACTCGCACTTTTCTCCTATTTCCTCTCGTGCAGATGCCCTCCTCCATCCCGGACAACGCCGTCTTGATCCCCACTTCCCTCTCGGTGCAGGCTCGCGCGGTGCTTGGCGGGAACCTTTTCGGAGAGCGCGGGAGATGAGGCCATCCTGGCGATAAAAGTGTGCGCACGGGTCACGGCTAGGGTTACCGCCCTCACTCCTCGCCTCTCCTTCCGCCATAGCTCTGGTGCGAACTCCCCTCTAGCTCCCCCTCGACCTCGGTAGCCCTACCGAGGCGACCACCGCCGGTGGATTTCTCTGGGTCCTTCGGCGTTTCGACGGTATATGCCACCTACGCTCTTCCCCTCCTCCTTCAGTGTCAATTTTGTTGATTTGTCTGTGGATTTTGCTTGCAATGCCAAGAAATTAGGATTCTTGGTTTGACATCCTCAGATCTGTGTGATGATATACCTGATTTACCTGTTCCTAGCTCAAATCTGTACATGATGCTTCGTATTTGGTGTATACCTCATGTTTTATGTAGATCTTATACATGTTGATGCCTATTTTGTTGTACACACTAAGCAAAGTGCCTAGAGGTCAGTGATGTTGATTGTGTAATAGTATACGCTGGAGGAGCACCCTTTGGTGTGGCAGTCGCGTCTTTCATAGTTCATTTTGTCTAATTTTTTGCTTGCTAAGCAGTACAGACCCATGTTGCTTGCTCCCTTTCTAATGTTGCCCTCCATCCTGTTGGTAGACATGGCCTTTGAAGCTAGGCGCAAGGCTGTCGTTGCCGTGGTTGTTGCAGTGGCTGCTTGGTTTTTCATGTGGTTTAGGAGGAGAATTGAAGATTCTCGCTCAGTCACCTATGGTCCCATGGCTGAGAGGGATAAACAGAGGATGAACAACCTTAGATACATCTATGAATCTGATGATGTGCACTGTGTCAACCTTCTTAGAATGAAGAGGGTCCCTTTTTCCAACTTTGTGACATTTTCCGTAGTAAAGAGCTTGTCACTGACAGCATACATGCATCTGTTGAAGAACAAGTAGCCATGTTCTTGCATGTTGTTGGTCACAATGAGAGGTTTAGGGTGGTTGACCTCACCTTCAGGAGGTCCGCAGAGATAATTAGTAGGTTCTTCCAGAAGGTGTTATGTGCAGTAGGAGAGCTGAGGAATGAATTGATTATCCCTCCTGCTACCAATGTCCATCCTAGGATCCTTGGGAGCAGAAGGTGGTACCCCTATTTCAAGGTTGGTATCCATAACTTATCATACATAGGTCTCATTCATTATCAGTTTAGTGTCAATGTTCACTTGCACTTATGTTTTATTGATTTAGGACTGCATAGGAGCAATTGATGGTACTCATGTCTTAGCCAGAGTGCCTGTGAAGATGCAAGTTGTCTTTAGAGGCAGGAAGCACACCATCACATAAAATGTGTTGGCAGCCGTGGACTTTGACCTCAAATTCACCTATGTGCTTGCTGGTTGGGTGGGATCTGCACATGATGCTCTTATCTTGTTTGATGCTCTTGAAAGAGCTGATGGCCTTAGAGTGCCACCAGGTATCATCCAAACCACAAAAAACCATTGACACTTTGCTTACTCCTAAATGAAACTACTAAAACATATCCCTATCTGCTAATTTCTAGGCAAATTCTATCTTGTCGATGCTGGATATGCAGTGAGGCATGGTTTCTTTCCACCATTTCGTGCCACAAGGTACCATTTGAGGGAGTTTGGTTCAAACCGACCTCAAAATCAAAGAGAGCTTTTTAATCTAAGACATTCGTCTCTTAGAGTGACAATTGAGAGGGCTTTTGGGGCTCTAAAGAATAGATTCAGGATATTGGACAACAAGCCTTTCCACCCATACAAGACCCAAGTTAAGCTTGTTCTTGCCTGTTGTATTCTTCACAATTGGATCCTCAGGCATGGGCAGGACGAGCATGTACCTGTTGAATCCACATGGACTCATAACATCAATGACAATGCCTCACAACCAGATCATGTCCCTGACAATGGTACCTGGGCACAACAGAGGGAGGCATGGGCTGCACATATGTGGCAAAACAGGGGAAATTCTAGGGTGTAGTGGCATGGTGTGTGTAATGTTTAGTAGCATTGATGGAACTTGTATTTTAACTGAGACCTATGGCACTTTGCGATGATGTAGTACCTATTCCTTTTCTGCCTATTTGATCTGTTGAACTTGTATTTCATATCATGCAATTTGTTTTCCTTACGTACTGGTTTGTTCAATGTTATGCTGGTTGTGGATGGAAAATGGAGAATATGCTTAACTAGGTTGTTAACATTGGTGGTGAGGACAATGTGGTGGGACAGGGTGGGGTAGTTGTTGTTGATGATGGCAATCCAGCAGCCCCTCAGCCCAATGGCCCTATGCACTGGACTCCTATCCAGTCTGAGTTCATGCTAAGGAGGTTCCATGATTTGGTGGGGCAGGGGTCAAAACCGACAAAGGGTTCAAGGAGGTGCATGTTAAGCAGGTTGCACTCATGGTCTCTGAGTTTGCTGGGGTCAATGTGACCACCCAGCAGATTTACAACCACCTAAGAAAGTGGAGGCAAAGGTGAGTTAAGATTGTTAGGCTCAAGGATTTGAGTGGTGCTCTGTGGGATGAGGACCACCATATGATAGTACTTGATGATGAACACCTACTTGGCCACACCAAGGTTAGGAACTGCTTGGATAACACTTCAGCTATC